AAAAAACTAACGGCTGCTTTAGTTCATGGGACCTGGGGAAAGTCCATTTGTCTGGAGTTACCATCTGTATGCACAGTAACACTAAGCTCTTCTGACACATTCTTATTATCCGATGGTTTTGGGGGTAGAAAATGTGCCACCCAACAGGGATGTGTCCCAGTGGGCAGCACAGGGATGCCACTGTGACTGCCAGGTCACCCGGGATTGTGCAGGATGGTGTTGGCAAGGGGAGGGAGCAGCAGTGGTGACTGGCAGGAGTTCATGGCCTGAATGGCCATGGGGCGCAGCAAAAGTCCTGCATCCTGCTTTCTACATGCTCTCCTGGCCCAGCAGACTGATTCAATTCCTCTGACACTTCAAATTTTCAGCTTTAAAAATGAGGAAACAAGTATCCTATGATACTGGAGATCAAACTGTTTTCAATGGCTGCTGAGGGAAGGAGTGGTGATTAATAACAAATACTGCTTGGATCTGTCACCCACAGGTCTGGAACAGCATGGAAGAGCTGTTTGCATGCTGCATCCTGCAAGAAGAGTTCTAGAAGCTGGAACTGCTTTAAAACAGAAAAAACTCACCAAAACCAAACACAAAACAAAACAAAAAATCAGCTCCATGGCTGAATTAGATCAAACAATCTTCCATTGACTTCAAATCCCAAACGTTTAACATGCACGTGCTTCATCCAGATAATCTTATGTGAAAGAAGAAAAAACAGGCTATCTGATAAACCTCAGCTATTTAAACACCTGGGCAGATGTCAGGGGACCCGTTTAAAAATAAGCAAAATATTCAGCTTTTCAGTCATGTTTTATTTAAACTGTTCAGTATGAGAGGTGACTTAGGCTAAGTTGATGATCTGGAAGTTGCTCAGTTGTTAACAGTATTTTATAATTACTTCTTGTTGCTTGAAAATGGGCTGGAATGGATAACCCCATTAGAAGTGGTACCTTTCAGTGCAGTGCTATTTAAATGAGAGCAGTGCCCCCTTCTGAGGCTGCAAGTGGTGGCAGAGCAATGCAGCAAGTCCTTGGAGAAGGAATTTGCAGCTTTGTCTAAATATATGCTGCCCAGTTGTCCCTAGCAGGCTGAAGAGTAAATGGAGGTTGGATCCCATTGGGCTGGGAACTCGGTGTCTGGATGTGCTACTGTCAGAGCATTTCTGTATGCCACTGGGCAGAAGTTGGCACATGGGAGTCTTGCTGGCTAGTGCTGAAGCTTGTCTCAAGCAGAAGTCTGATCTTTGGGTTTCATTATTGTATGTATATATTTTTTATCATTGCCTGTAATAGTTGTTACACTGAACTCATCCTCCAGATGCTACAAACAAATCTAATTTCAGGTGTTTATCTTGCATTTCCCTTGATGATGTGATCCCAGAATTTGATGTGGTGGTGGGCAATCAATGCAGGAAATAACCAACAGCCCCCTGTAGAACCTGCCATTATCAGAGCACAGTGGGGTCTCCTCCTGTGGTCTGGTGTGGCTTCCTTGGTGAGATGGCTCATCCAGAGGCTTTGTGGGCCATGGGATAACAGTTTTATTTGCCAGCTGTGGACGTGACCAGGGACTGTTGCTGTTAGAGACACAGATAAGGAGGAGATGGATGCATTGGGAATGCACAAAGCAGGGTTGTCATCTGCCAGCTCCTAAAAACCTTCACTGCTGAGCCTCTCCAAAAGTCAGGGTGGCATTTTTGTCTTTAATAGGATGCTGTCAGTGGGGTTTTCTTCCATTAATTTGATGCTGCATGAGAAGACATGCAGAAAAAGAAAATATTTATCTAAGAAATCACAAAACCACAATAAATACTGGTGTTAGAATGACTAAATATTACAAGTTATTAACCTGCCAATGGTAAAGTGATGCATTAAAAATTGACGCTGCAACTTCAAATCTTGATTAGGGACCTCTGTTGTAAAAGAAAGATTGTCTTAAGCAAATGTTAAGTACAAAGTAGTCTTGCACTATGTAGAGAGTAGACTGTAAGTCAATGGAATTATGCCTGATTTATGCTGAAAGACTCTGTCTCAGTAATTTTAAAAGATAAATTAATTGTATATGATATGCTTAAGCATACAATCAAACATCTTAGTGATTAATTTGTATTTATGCTTCAGTAATGTGTTTGGAACATTGCCATCTTTTTTTCTTTTTTTTCATGAAGGATCCCCAGGGTAAATGATCTACATGGTCTCTAGGTGTACGTAAACGTGTTTTGTTTGGATTATGTCAAGAAGTGGGTTTAAACTCTGTTAAGTAATTGCACAGCAGGGTACAAGTTTGGTACTGGAGTGAAAGTTGCACTTTGAAAATTAAAGTTTTTATGTGTAATGGGAGGAAAAGAAATCAGGAATGACAGTTTATGAAAGTCAAAACAGTGTTTCTCTTCTATCCTGCCAGCTGAATGCAATCAGCCATCTTAGATGTTTTTCCCTTTTATTCCTTCTTTAAAGAGATGTAAATTTTGCTGTTGAGTAAGAATTACCTTTGGAAGGGCGACAAAATACATTTTGTCTTGCCATAATGGATAATAAGACCATTAGAGCAACAACAGAAAATCTGATTTAGGGTAACCTGGAGGCATGCTGGGAGAGACTCCAGGGAAGCGAGAGCCAAGCTGCCAGAGTCAGTGCCAGGGAGAATGAATCCTTTGGGAAGACTGTCAGTCCCTGGCAGGTCTTTGTATATGCATTGGGAGGAATTGAGCAACCTGGAAAGCTGCTTTGCAGGACACTGTTGTGAATAATAGATAATTTGGCGAGAAACATGGGACCACAATGATTCTTCTGAATTACTAGATTCTGTGACTTGGTATTGCAGGCAGCTGTCTCATATAGTTAATTTGATGAACTGATCGAACGTCAACCTGAAAGTTGTTATGTTTCTCTCTTGTGCCCACTCCTGTTACTGCCACAATATTCTGTGAGCTTCTATGATGAGTAGAAACCTTGCCATTTACATTGTAAGGTAATTGCCAACCAATCATAGTCTATTCTTATACAGAAGAGGAAATACCTTTCAGTATACATCCCCTGCATAGATCTGTAGGCAGAAATCACATCCCTGCTTGGCTGTTGCTGTGGTAGCTCATTAAGCTGAAGTAGTTGGCTGTCCCTTTTCTTGAGTATCCAACTGAAGGCATCACACTTGGACCAAGGTGACAGCTGTTTGTCAGCGGCAGGAAAATCTGCTAGTCACACTGATATTGTCTCAAGGTTTTTCATTACCAAATGTGTATTTAGGACCTGTTTTATAGCTTTTCTCTAGTTACTCTGTATTCCAAGGTGTTTATACTGAAGGTCAAGCAGATGTCCTTGTTGATGTCTCATAGAGACTGCATTTTTTTATGATTGTATTTTCTGCAAACAGTAGAGACTCCTGAGTGGGTTGTGACATTGTTAAAGGGGCCAAAAAAAACACAGGAATTGGATTGAAATCGCTCTCTCCATCAATATCTCATGACAGTTGTGTTAGGTTTAGGCTTATCGAAGCCAGGCAACTAGACCTAAAACAAATTGGGCTGAAGTGGAACATGTTTCAGAAAATGTGTTGCAGAAACAAGTAGCATAGGATATTACTGATCAGGGGTGGTGGCCTGAATATTTCATGAGTAAATCTATGTTTTCTGGGAGGAAGGCAATCAAATAACTGTGTATAAGATAATGCTTCAAAGTGTGCAACATCTTGTGCCATCTTCAAGCAACTAGAATGCCACAAAGAAAATACTGAGATCTGCTGCTAATTCTGCAGAGTTTGATAGCATCTTACCCAGCCCATGCAGCGCATATACCAATAAAGAGTTGTATAGGAATTATTTGTTTTTGAAATTTTGGTAAAATGATCTTGCCCTTTGCAAACCAATTCTGTTAGTAAACAAAAAGTTACTGATTTGAGGAAAAACACATATTTTGAGTCAAGATGTTCCTCTTTATTCTGCTCTTGTGAGACCCCACTTGGAGTACTGTGTGCAGTCCTCAACATAGGAAGGATATGGACCTGTAGCAGCAAGTCCAGAGGAGGGCCACAAGGTTAACAAGGGGGCTGCAGCACTTCCCATATGAAGACAGGTTGAGAAAGTTGGGGCTGTTCAGCCTGGAGAAGAGAAGGCTGAGTGGAGACCTCATAGCAGCCTTCCAGTATCTCATGGTGGCCTGCAAGGATCCTGGAGAGGGATTCTTCATTAGGGACTGTAGTGACAGGACAAGGGGTGATGGGTTCAGATTTAGATAGGGGAAGTTTAGATTGGATATAAGGGAGAAGTTCTTTAGCGTAAGGGTGGTGAGGCACTGGAATGGGTTGCCCAAAGAAGTTGTGAATGCTTCATCCCTTGCGGTGTTCAAGACCAGATTGGACAGAGCCTTGGGTGACATGGTTTAGTGTGAGGTGTCCCTGTCCATGGCAGGGGGTTGGAACTAGATGATCTTAAGGTGCTTTCCACCCCTAACCATTCTATGGTTCTATTGGCTTAAAAATAAACATTATAATATATAACCTTTGATTACATGTCAACTTTTTGTTTTGGAAGAATCCACAACATTTATCTTCATGTTGGGGGATGATGTTTTTCTCTGGAAAAAAAATAAAAATTGCCTGCTGTTTTGTTGCTGTGCTTTCCTCCAAACTGTGTTGAAGGAAGGGTGACATATCCTGGGGTAGAAAAATATCATTTCGGCACACAGGTCCCCACCATCAGGTGAACGAGGGGACTCTTACTGGTGCCTTCAGGCAAGCCTGGTTGAAAGCTGTGTGTCTCCGTTTTCTCATTTTCACTGACTTCTGACAAAGTAAATTGAGCTCAGTTGGATTTATATTCCTCAGCCCCGTTTTAGCTGATACTGGCTAATAAGCTCCAGCCAAGCTCTCATTCAGAGATGTCAAGTTTTGTCCTGATGGCAGGTGAGTTGAGTATGGAGCATGCATTTATTTGTGTGACAGCTTTAACAGAAAAGACTAAAGGCTTCGTTCATTATTCTTACACCCCTTAATACAAAGTTGTAGAGACCCTGAATCTCTGGATGAAAGTCACAGCAGATACGAGTCTTGGTCTGACTGGAGTACCTGAAGCCGTGCCTGGTGGAGCCTCCCTGGAGAGATTGGGTATGATTAAGTGTGGTTTGAGTGCTGTCTTATGGATGGAGGGATTGAGACAATGTATAGCAGTGAGCAGCGATCTGCTTTGTGGTGCTGCAAGAAGAAGGACAGATAAAGGTTTTGGAAGTTCTGTGAGATCCTGTTCGAACTCCCACCTTTCTAATGACTGTTAAGGGAGGGTTAATACTATCCTGTCTAAAATCATAGATGCAGTTTGGTGAATAACTCCTACATTTAACTTTTTAACAGCCAAATCATTCGTAGGGCTGGATCTAGAGCCCATTGAAGTTATTGAGAGCTGTTCTGCTTGCTCTTCTTTTTTCTGATTGCTAATTTTGTGTAAACAGCTCTTGGTCATCACAAGTTTGTTTATTTGAAATTATCTGCAGATTAATTTTGGCAATTCATTTCTCATTGAACATGCATGGTGTTCAGCATTTGAAGTAGATGATTTCAGTCATTCGCATTTGCAGCCTGAGCTCCTTTCCTGTATCCTGACTGAGCAGTTGTTGTGAGCATCCTCATTCAGTTATTCAGAACTTGCTTTTCCATGCATTCATGGTCAAGTTCACAGGAACTTCTGACCTGCTGTGCAGAGTCTGGTTGAAGCTCAGTCCTGCTCAGTGTGTATCTTGATAATGGTTTCATTATGGATGCTTAAATAATGAGCACACAGAGTGATTGTTTGGTTTATATTCCTAATGAACTGTAACATTACCAATGAGTAATAATTATCTTCCTTGCAACTTTACGCAATGAGCATTGTAGTGTAGAGTGTGATGTTCCCAGTTCATCTAACATGTGTGTGGAAAGGACAATCTAGTTTGAGGCTTTTCTTTTAACTTTCTAAGGAATTTAAATATTTATTGATATGCCTGTCAGCATTATTTTAACAATACATGAGGGTGGTGAGGCACTGGCACAGGTTGCCACGAAAAGTTGTGGCTGCCCCATCCCTGGCAGTGTTCAAGGCCAGGTTGGATGGGGCTTTGAGCAACCTGATCTAGTGAAAGGTGTCCCTACCCATAGCAGGGGTTGGAACTGGATGAGCTTTAAGGCGCCTTCAGACCAAACCATTTGGTGATTCTATGATTATTCTGATATCAAACTGTGTTTTTAGCTTTCCTTTTTCATGTTCAGAGCGATGTGGAATAAGCAAGTGACACTGGGGCTTCCGGTTTTTCTGGAAGCACTTGCGTATTGATGCCATGTTGAAAGGAGGAAGCGAACTATGAGCTACTGAGTCAAGATCCCATAATGCAGAGCAGAGTGTGACATGCTGCTGTGTTAGGGTTTTGGCTTGCAGAGCTGCAAGGGCTAGTGATATGGAAAGAGAATTTCTGCCATTGACTTTGGGTGTAGTCAGAGCTGGTGGAGATTGTACGTGACAGCCTGATGATGGCTGTTCTGCTGTGGATGCAGAAAGCTGCTCTTCTGAAAGTTTCCTTAACTCATCTTCAAAGTCAGTAATAGTCTGAAGTTACACAGCTCAAAGGGGTTTTGTGCCATTTGGCTTCAGCCCATATTGAAGTATCTGGGCAGAAATTGTTTTAGACTCATCTTGCCTATGTAAAGATGTATATCTTAATGCATCATCTTATAAAATATATATTTGTTGGCACGTTTACTGTTCAGTTTCTTGGAGCTCTGTTTTTAAGGATTTAGGAGATTTCAACAGTGATTGTTAACATTTAGGTGTCTTCCTAAAGACCTAAATTCTGCTGCAGGGAAGATGGGGCACAGGCTCCAGATTTGAAGGATTGGTTCATAATTAGCTCTTATTAAGGTTCTTGGAAGAGAAACCTTCAACACCTGACATTCGGTAGCAGTTATGGGGGCTGAAATACTGCTGGGAAGCATGAAAGCATATGCCTGGATGGATTGTGTAAGGTGAGAAGCTAAGGCATTGGAAAACAGGGTCAGCCAGAGAGCCAGCTCCACGCAGCAGCATTGCAGGGCAAGGTATGAGAGGATGTAAAACATTGGTGAAGTGCTGTAGGAAATAGAATGGGCTCAAATGAATATATGCTTGGTTATTTTAACAAAAAGTAGAAGTATAGATTTCTGCTATCAGTAAGTATAAACGGAAGCACTGGACTTGAGCATCTTAAGGGTTTTCTGTGTTAACACCTAATGTTTATGATTCCAGTCCAGGAGGGCTCCATGCTTGTATCTTATGTCACATATTCTAAATTCTTCTTTGGCCTCAATATACCCAGAGAAAAAGAAAGAGGAAGGGTAGGAGTGGGAGAACATCACAGCATAGGAACACGCTGTAAATTGACACCATGTTTGCACATTTGTGCAGCATGGGAACCAAATTGTGCTGTGAAAATCTGTCTTGCTCTGGCTGAAGTCATGAGACACTTTCCCATGAGAGCAGGATCCAGTCCTGAACGCTGGATGCTTAGGGAAAAATAATCCACAAAATCTAAATAAACCCAAGTAGATGTGACTTCTCTCTAATGCAAAACTTTGATCCTGTGGCCACTGTAAGGATGAGAGGACTCTCTTATCTCTCTGATGGATTGTTTTCTCCACCTTCTGTGTTCGTGAGCAGGCATGTAGGTAAATATAGGGTAGAGCACCCTTTGGAGAGGTCTGTCTGTTGCCCACTTGCTGCTGAGGTGTTCCTTAGGATGAGCCTTGTCTTGGATTTATGCAGTTTGATGTAGTGAGGTTTAGGTGCATCATCCGTGCTGCAGCCTGGAACCCTGTCTTCCCCTTCCACATCAGGGCCAGGCTGACAGTACACACCATGGGAGGGACCTGTCGCTTGGAGCAGTCAACAAGCCCGAACTTGATCATCAATCATGTCACAGTGGGGCTGGAGCCACCATGTCCTCATCCAGCTTTGTGTAGCTCCTGTGACATGTGGCACATGGCCACAGCTGAACAGAGGGGACCCTGTTGGGTGGTGGGTGAGCACACACCACTGTGTCTGGTGGGCTATGCAGCAACCAGCTCAGGCACCAGAAGGCTTTGGGTAGTTGGTGCTGGGAGTAGGATGAGATGCTGTGCATCTTGTGCATATGTGGTTTCCCAGTGGGTGGCTGCCTGTGCTCGGTAGAAAGGCTGTCCTGTTTTTAGCAGGTCTCATCTATACTGTGCTGGGCCACCATCCTTGCCTCCCCAATGAGAATTGACATTAATAGTTCAGCGGATGATGATCTCTCTTCTGAGAGCTTTTTGAATGACAAAAATTTTTTTTGTTGTAAATGTCAGGCAGTTTTTCCTTCTGGGAAGAAACACAGGCAAACACACGTTGGGATCACATTTGTTCATCATATTAACTTGTTCAGCATTGCCTAGAAAATCAATGCTGCCTTTTAATACAGAAAGCCCCTTGTCAACTGGACAAGATGCTCCGGTTGAAAGTCCATGGGAAGAGCGTTCCTTCAGAGACAGCAGCCAGGTGAAATGAGCACTGGTTGTCTTCAGTACTTTGGCTGGCAAGCAGAAGCTGATGTCAAAAGGGCTGCAGCTCAATGGCTGCATTTCCAGCTTCTCTGGCCAGTTCAGAGGCATTGTGTCATATCCATTCTGCCATCCAGCATGGATCAGACCTGGATCTGGCTCAACAGCAGCCCCAGGCTGAGCTTCTGGATCCTGTGAAGTCTGCAGAGCAAGTTCCATCAGCCCCTTAATTTTGGATAGTTTCATCATCTGAGCTTCCTAGGCATTGCTTGTTTGAGCTTGGAAAGAGCTCTTCCCCTTGAAGGTGCCTGTGTCAGAAGTACATCTTTTTGAATTTGTATTGCTCTCTTAAACAGCAGATGTCAGTCTGGACATTTTTTTTTTTTTTTTTTTTATATTTTTGCCTGTTTAAGAACTTTATTTGCTTTAGCTTACTTGATTCAGAATTGGTTTCAGATAAACTATTGAAGCATGGTTGTAGCTGCACAGATGCTTGATGCAGCTCACAAGTCCACTGGCTTTTCCCTCACCTACTTTCTACCCACTTAATGGTTTTGTTTGAATATGGAACATTTTTCCAAGCTTTAGCAGAAGTTTGATAAAAGCTGTGGTACAGAACTCACAGACTGGAAGTAATACACCCATTTTGGTTTGGGCAGCTTTTTAGATGTGTTTGAACCCTCCCTTGCTTCCCCCTCTCTCAAACCATGGCAAGTGAGCAGTTCCTGGCTGACCCTAGGCTGTGATGCAGAGCCAGACCATGCTGCAGCATCGACCATCCTCCTGCCTGGCCCTTGGTGGCTTCTTTTCCAAGTTGCTGTTGTCTTCTAGTCATTGGAGAGCTTTGCAGCCGCCTCTTGCAAGGACCGCTGGGCAGCGAGAGCTTTGCAGCCACCTCTTGCAAGGACTGCTGGGCAGCTTGGGGTGGTGTGAGTGGCCATGGGGGTAGGCTGCATCCTCCAAATACCCAGTGGGATGGGGGAGGCAGGGATTTCTGCAGGAGTACGTGGAGAGAGATGAGCTCAGGAGGGAGATACCAGGATCTTTGTTCATCTCTCGAGTGGCATGACACAGTCAGGAGCCTGGAACATGCTTTAGGGAAAGACAGGAATAACGATCTGGTCCATTGAGTCTCAGCTGAATACCAGCAAAACATATTAGTTTGCTGTGCAAGTTATGATCTAAGTCAACCTGTGAGGGCTCAAAGAGGGGTTGCAGGAGGTGGATAAATCTGAGCATCCTAATCCTATTGCTTTGAGTCCTTACTGAAAACTGATGAAAATGCAGTTGTGCGGTGAAAGGGAGAATTTACCATGATGGTTGTACTACATACACGAGGCTGTATTTTCTTCCTGTTTATGCCAGTTTTACTCCATTGGCATTTATTCCTATTGTAAATCATCAAAGAGCAAGTCCTTTATTACTAGGCAATTTAAGATGGCTTATGTTATATTATCTGACCCTTACAGTAGTTCTAAACTATTCCTTCATCCCCTGCCTGTGTGCAAATAAAATGGTCAGGGAAACCTTTTCCTTAAGAACAAGAAATTTCAGGTGGCTTGATTTTTAGTGTTAATGTTGGTGGAAAA